GGCTGGTCTTGACCTCGAGTCTATTTCCATCTCCCAAGTAACAGGGATTACAGATGTATGCCACCATACCCGGCTTACCTTTTTGCAATTCAGATCTATGTTCAATCTCAAATAATTTCTTTGTATAGTGTGACAGAAGTCAACATTCACTTTTTTGTATGGATATCCAACTTAACATCATTGACAAGACCATCCTTTCACTACTGAACTACAGTGGTGCTTTTGTTATAAATCAGGTATTTATGTATCCATATGTTTGTTTTAGGGCTCTGTAATATTTTATTTAATTGATCTATTATATAATAATAGAAGACACAGCTGTAGTTTTACAACATATTTTACAAGCAGGAGCAGGGACAATTTCAAAGTTTGTTTCAAGAATCTCTTGGCTTTTATTGTGTTTGTATTTCCTTTACACTTCAGAATTGGTTTATTAATTTGCACCCAAAAACAAAATGTGAGAAAAGCTGATGAAAGGGATTGTGTTGGTTCTAGATCAGTATGGGAAGAACTGACATCTTGGCCTGGGCCTGTGGCTCAAGTGATAGGAGGCTTGCCTAGCAAGCACAAGGCCCAAAGTTCAAACCCCAGTACTGACAAAACCAAACAAACAAAAAAGCAGAAAAAAAACCCCAACAAGCAAACAAAGAAAACTAGAAATGACGTTAATATCTAGTTACCCAATCTAGGAAAATAGTGTACTTCTCCCTTCATTCAGGTTTTATTTTCTTTTGCATTGCTGGGCATTGAACACAGAGCCTCAGAAATGCTACAGAAGGGCTCTGCCACTGAGCTACAATCCTTCGTTTCTTTTTTTTTTGTTATGTGTGTGGTGACAAGATCTTTCAACTTGCTATGAAGCCCAGGCTGGTATTGAACTTGGCATCCTTCTGCCTCACCTTTCCAAACTAGATTACAGTACTCATGCCCAACTAAAGAATCTTATTTTTCTTTTCCAATTTTCATACTTTTTATCTTATTGAGCTGACTTGAACCTCATGTGCTGCTGGTCATAAGATAGTGAATAACTTGGTTTTGTCCCCAAATTCAAAGAGAGAGAAAGGTAGTTTAATGTTTCATCATTAAACATGAACAGAATTTTAGTTTTTTTTTTTAAATCATTTTTACATTTACTTACATGTGTGTTCATTATTTGGGCCACCTCCTCAATTGGTTGGGTTTTTTTAATTGTTGTTGGTTTTTTGTTTGTTTGGTTCTGGGAATTGAGCCCTGGGCCTCCAGAATTCTAGGCAAGCACTTTACCACAAATTTACTCCCCTATCTCAGCCCCTAGTTGTAGATTTTTCTTTTCTTCCCTCTCTTCTTTGGCAGTATTGGGGTTTGAATTCAGTGCCTAGAGCTTGCCAGGGAGGCACTCTATAAACCAATCTTTTATTCCTGAAATAACTCTACTTGATTTTGATGTAACATTCTTTTTATTTACCACTAGAACAAATTATTGATATTTTTGGTTAGGTTCTTAGAATGCTCATGAGTGTCCTACAGTTTTTCTTTCTTGTACTATTCTTCTATTTGTTATCTGGCTATTTCTGACCTTATAAAATAAATTGGGAGGCTGGAGGAATTGTCTAGCAAGTGCAAAATCCCCGTTTAAACCCCAGTATCACCAAAAAAAAAAAAAGGAAAAAAAAAAGTTGGGGAGGGCTCCTTTCATTTATTCTCTGAGTGTGTGTAAGATTAGTATTATTTTCTCCTTAAATATCTTGAAGAGTTCCCCAGAGAAATGAGCCTGCAATTTTTGTCTTGAAAAGGTTTGTTAATTTCAGTCAATTTCTTGAGTAGACACATGCCTATTGAGATTTTTTATTTCTTCTTGATTAAGTTGTTAAGGGATTTTATCCATTCCACCAAATTTGCTGACCTAACAACTGTGACCTAACTTGTTTGCAATACCTTTATATGTGTGTATGTACACATACATAAATGGATTTTATATATTTATTTGTTGTTGAGATAGGTTCTTGCTCTGTAGCCTAGACTGGCCTTAAATTCATGATTCTCCTGCCTCAGCCTCCCAACTAGCTGAGGTTACAGGTGTGAACTAGTGTGCCCAGCTTACCTTGTTTTGTTTTCTTTTTTTGGTTGCACAGAAGTTTGAACTCAGAGCTTTGAACTTGCTAGGCAAATGCACTATCATTTGAGCCATGCTTCTAGTCTCCCAGCTTACCTTCTTATATTAATTTCTTCTTCACTGCAAATGTGACTTCTAGATTATTAGTTCATGACCAGCTATCTTAAATTACTGTCTTAAAAATCTGTAATTTTTTGAAAACTTTCTATACTTTTCTGTATCACCACTATCTTCTCAAACTAACTTCACACTTTCTCAAAAAAGACTTCAGTACCTACCTTCAATTTGTTTCAGGTCCAGTTAGTTAAATTCTCAAACAAAAAATAATTTGTTTTGGTTCCAGGACCAAAGTCCTGAGTTCAATCCCCAGTTCCTTAAATTCTTTTTAAATTTTTTATGTAATTGGGCTTAAACTCAGGGCCTCTTGCTTAACAGGCAGGTGCAATACCATGTAAGTCACACCTTCAGCTCAGCTCCTGAAATTCTTGATTTCAGCCGTAACATGGTCACACTTTGCAATTCAACATTACAGAACACGGTTTCATTTCTAAAAACTTTGTAGTTAAATATTGCCTTTTTCTACCTCTTTCCCTAATCTGTCCCTGATTGCAACTGCCTGTCTTATGTTGTGCCAAAGAGTTGGAGTTTTAAATTAAAAGCAAAGCTTTGAAAAAGTAATGTGACCTAAAAGATTCCACATTCTCTGTTGACCTTGACTGAACTCTTCTGTTCAATTACTTATTCACTTTTATAATCTTCCCAGCTTTCTGATTCTATGAAGCAAACTGTACCTTGTATGCACAAAATGGTTATTAGAGTTGGGGTGCAGTACCAGCTACTCAGGAGTCTGAGGCAGGAGGATAGCTTGATCCCAGGAATCCTAGGTCAGCCTGGGTAACATAACAAGAACTTGTCTCACAAAAAAAAAAAAAAAAAAAAAAAGGTCATTGGCAACTCTTCTTGGTTCCTATCACTGAGAGGAGGCCAGGAAATTCAAGAGGAAAATTGAACAATACACCCTTATCTTCTGAGATAAAAAAATCCCATTAATCAATATTAATTGGCATTGCCATTTCTTGAGACTGTCCCATTTTTTTTTTTAATCTTAAATCATGGTAGATCATTTTTTTCTAATGCTTTTCTCAGTGAAATTAGAAAGCTGGAAACAAATCCCAGGGATACCATATCCCTGCTGACAAATCCTGCAGCTGCAGAGGTGAGGGATGGCAAAGAGGATTTCACTTCTGTTGTCTCTCTTCTTTTGACTAAGAGAACATGCTAATTTTACAATGTAATAACAGAGCTGAAAGCTGGCATGGTGGATTAAGCCTATAATTCTGGTTACCTGGGAGCGGGGAGATTGGGAGGATCGAGGTTCAAGAATAGCCCGGACAAGTAGTTCTTGAAACCTCATCTCAATCATTGGCTGGGTATGGTGGTGTGTGCCTGTCATCTCAGCTACAGGGGAAGCACAAAAAGGACTGTGGGGCAGGCCAGTCTGGGCATAAAGTGACACCTTATCTCAAAAAATATAACCAATGTAAAAAGGGCTGGCAGAGTGGCTCAAGTAGTAATGTGTCTGCCTAGCAAGCACAAGTCCCTGAGTTCAGCAACACCACAAGTAAAAACAACAAAAAAGAACTTGAAAATGAAAGAAAAAGAATTATTCCCACCTAGAGATTTATATTTTTATCTTCTAAATTTATAACTGGTTTTTCCTCTAATATTTATTTTTGAGACAGGGTCTGGTGATACAGCCCTGGTTGGCCTTGAACCTATGATCTTCCTGTCTCTCAAGTCTTGGGATCACAGGTATGCACTGCCATGACTCCTCTCACATTTTGTTATAAAAAAATGCCAAACATACGGAAAGTTGAAGGATTTACACTGAACACAGATCAACTCAGCACCTACATGTGTCTTTTGAAGATTTTACATTTAACTCATTATTAAGAATTTATGAAATCTTGCAGGTGTGCAGTAAGTTGAAGATCTAATTTTATTTTCTCAATGAATCAACTTGGTATTACTAAATTATGTTAAGTAGCAACTGGTTGACTTTATTAATTTGCTCAGATACATGAGTCTAATACGATTATACAAGAAATCTGTCATTCAATTGATTGGTGGATGTTCATGAAATAATAAGCACATTAATCATTTGCAAAAAAACTGCAAACCTATGTTACATGTTGTAGAGTATCCTCTTAGGCCTCCTTTGAGAGTAAACTGTATTTTTTTTTTTGACACATCTCAAAACCATATTCAGGTCCAAATCTCAAAGATGAAATGATACACGTCAAAAAACCAGAACGGCTATAATTTAAAGAGAATGATTTTCTTGATTATTCCCAAAAATAATGTCATGAATTGGGCACCAGGGCTGACACCATAATCCTAGCTACTTTGGGAGACAGAGATCAGGAGGACTGAGGTTGGAGGCCAGCCTGAGCAAATACCCAACATAAAAAAGGGCTGGGAGTTGCTCAAGTGGTAAAGTGCATGCCTAACAAAAGTGAGGACCTAAGTTCAAAGCTCAGTACTGAAAAAAAAAAAAAAAAGAGAGAGAAAACAGAAACAAAAGGAAGAACTACTAAATTCATAGTGATAATTACATTGGCTGACCACCTAAAAAATTTATATCCATAACTACTCAAAATTTACACATGTCGTCTTTTACAGGAAAAAAAAATCTACAACACTAGTAAGTTAACATATTTTATTTTAATAGTTCTTATATTTTTACCAACATAAAAATAGGTATATATTCCTTAGGCTTATAGTACTGATATAACAATAAAGATAAAAACATTTACAAATTAAAAACAAAAATATAAAGCCAATAAAATGCAAATTAACTACCTTAATTTAATACAAGTGATGCTGTTTTGCTCAAACAGAAAAATTTTTTGCTTAAAAGAAATAAAGTATTTGGCTTATAGCAAAAAGCTGTAGTTTCCTGTTCTTAAACTGTTTCAGTGTTTTTATTTTAACAATAATGTTGAGAATGCTTAGTCACAGAAGCATCTTATTTCAACCGCTATTGATAAATTCAAGCCTTTCCTTTGTCTTTCATGGAAATCAGAACAGAGTATTATCAAATCTATTAAATGGCAGTCCTCAAATGTCAATTTTAAAAAGGTGAGAACTGACAGGTTGAGAAAATAAAAAAGCTATCTTTACTAAAACCTGTAATAACTGTTGAATTCAATGAGTTTTCGTTTTGGAAGAGGAACATTCTTTACTGTTTATTTGCTATTGGTCTTACTGCTGAATTCTAAGTCACTCTGTGTAGCAGCCTCACAACATAATGGCACTAACTTGTACAGACATTTTCTGGGTAATATAAGACACTGACGTGTTAAAAACCACATTATGTGTATAACAGCAGCACACCATCATTTTTCTCATTGTCATACAATCTGTGTTCTGCGATTCCAGTTTTATTATTTTTCAGATCAGATTTTAATTTTGAATATTTAACACCATTGCTAATGTGCATCTCACTTTCTTCATGTTTACTAAGGATATGTGATAAATGCTGCCAATCTTTACATCCATTCTCATTTTTCAGTTGGTTTTTTCCTTCTCCAAAGAGTTTGCAATACAGGCAAAACACAGAATCTTTTGAGGTTGAGTAAAGTAACCAGGATCTAGTGGTTTTTTCACCACTCGGGAGAATTCGTGTATAGTAAGTTTCTGAAAACTTCCTCCCTGTATTGTCTTTTGGAAAGTTAAAATTTCTTACTTGAGGTGGATCATTTTCAACAAGAGTATCCCGTTGCTTAATGTTTAAAATTCGGGGCCATGTACCTGGATCTGCAGAAAGAATGACTGGTATTATGGAGTCCTCTGATGTTTTGTCTTCCAGTTGCTCTTGAAATTTGTCAGCTACAGCTGACATAAAAGAAGGTAAACTCACATTCTGTTTGTTCACTAATATATCTGAGCTGCATTCTGCAGAAACCTGTAGCTCTGGAGTCTTTTCCTTTTTTTCTGGTATTTTATCTATTTTTTCTAAAAGTATATTGGATGGTGCATATAATTTTCTTTCAGTTTCTTGTCTAATAGCATTCCTTTTTCTGTTTTCTGAAGCTGTTGGTTTTGTTTCTATCATCTGGGGAGAAACAGGATTACAATTTTACTTTAGAATTTTTAACATTTTAAAAATTGACATATGCAGAAATGTCCAATAAGCACAATGGAAAGATCTGCATCATTAGTCATCAAAGACATGTGATTCAAAATGGTGAGGCAAAGTACTTCATACCCATCAGGACATTGCTGTGAAAGACTCGGAAAAACAGGGACCTCCAGAAGGGGATGCTGAAAGGTGAGATGGTGCAGCTGTTTCAGAAAACAGTTACCACATTACTCAACAATTCTACTCCAAGGAACATACTCAAGATGAATTAAAATATATGTTCACACAAAAATTTATATACAAAAGTTTATAGAAACATTATTTGTAAGAGTAAAAAATGCAACTCAATTGTCCACAAGTGAGTAAATAAAAATGCAGTATTCTTCATTTAACAGAATACTATATGGCAACAAAACCAAATGTACTGATATATACAACATGGATGAACCTTGAAAACGGTATGAAAGAAGGCAGTTACAAAGGACCACATGAGTCCATTTATGTGGAATGTCCAGAATAGGAAAAACTTATAGGAAAAAAAATTTTAACAGTTGTCTAGGACTTTTAAGGAGGCAATGGGGTGGAAATGAATTGTTAATGGATATGAGGTTTCTTTTGGAACTGGTGAAAATGTTCTAAAATTGTATACGGTGAATTGTAGATTATGTTAATTATATGAGTTGTTATAAAAAGTTTATGTGAAGCTGGGCATCAGTGGCTTATGCCTCTAATCCTAACTATGCAGCAGGCAGAGATCAGGAGGATCAAGTTTTGAAGGCCAGCAGGGGCAAATAGTTTACGAAACCCTATCTGAAAATACCCAACAGAGAACAGGATTTATGGAGTACCTCACACAACAGAGTACCTGCCTGGCAACTGTGAGGCCCTGAGTTCAAACCCCAGTACCAAAAAAAAAAAAATTCATTTGCCATTAGTATTTTGGGGGAGTGAGGAATGGTACTGAGGTCTAAACTCATACTTGCTAGGCAGCTCTCTGCTATTTCAGCCAAATACCCAGCCCCTAATAGCTATTAATTTTGTCAACAAATCTTTTGGGGGTATGGGATTTGAACTCAGGGCTTTATGCTTGCTAGGCATGTGTTCTATCACTTGAGCCATGCCTCCAGCCCAGTAGCTATTAATTTTAATGGTGAAACTGACATTTATAATCATTCAATACACATGAACATGGACACACACACAACATACAGAGAGATCTCTATTTTTTTTGAGGGAGGTGGTAGTGGGGTTTGAACTCAGGGCCATGCTTGCTAGACAGGTAATCTACCACTTGAGTCACTCCACCAGCCCTTTTGTGTGTCTGTGTTGGGTATTTTTGAGATAGGGTCTCTTTGAACTATTTCTAGGCTAAGAGAGCCTCCTGATTTGTCCCTGCCGCCCCCCTCCCCGTTAGCTAGGATTATAGGCATGAGCCATCAGCACCTGGCTCAGAAATTTATTTATTTATTTTTGTAGCACTGGGGTTTGAACTCAGGGCCTACACCTTCAGTCACTCCACTGGTCTTTTTTGAGATTGGTTTTTCCAGACAGGGTCTCTAGAACTATTTGCCCAGGCTGGCTTCAAACCATGATCTTCCTGATCTTTCTGCCTCCCCCTGCCCCACCCCCTCCTTACCACCCACTCACCCTCCCGCTCCCCCCCCTCATACCCAGCAGAAACTATTTTGCCCTTATCTCTAATTTTGTTGTAGAGAGAGTATAAGCAATAATAGGAAGGAACAAAGGGTTTTGCTGGTTGAGATAAGGATAGCTATACAGGGCATTGACTCACATTGATTTCCTGTGCGTAGGTGTTACCTTCTAGGTTCATTCTTTTTGATCTAACCTTTTCTCTAGTTCCTGGTCCCCTTTTCCTATTGGCCTCAGTTGCTTTAAGGTATCTGCCTTAGTTTCATGGAGAACTTCTTTAAAGATTAAAACAGAATCAGCTTAGAAGCACAGACGATTTTTTTTTTTTTTTTTGGCAGTACTGGAGTTTGAACTCAAGGCCTCACACTTGCTAGACAGGCTTTGAGCCACTTGAGAAATACAAATGGCAAATAGATTTGTAAGTCATCAAAATATATGTTTATTGAAACTATGGAACTATATGAGACTACTATATGAGAACCACATAAGAGAGAAAGAGACCAAGCTTGCAGTATTACTTAGGTCTTCTCTCTCGAAGCATTTTATCCCCCTTTTCTTTTTAGTAAAATTTTATTAGGTTTATTAACAGGAAAGGAACTTTCAAGGCTGAAGGTATGTTGTCTCAGAAAGAGAGGTAGAAAAAGACTAACATGAAAAAACAAACAAACAAAAGGTTGAGAATTACCACAACATATATTCAGCAAAGGTTTTCATTGAAGTTTAAGAGACTTGGAGTGTCAGGTCCCTCCCACAGACCAGCCTACGGATAGTGACTGAGATGGACGTTGTGAAAGAATTACAACTTTCTCAAGAATCACTCTGCACATGCAATTACCCATGACCACCTAAGAAAAACCCATAGAGGGAAGAAGTGAGAAAAACTTAAAAGTACAGTGAGATTATGATGACATGGTTACAGGCAAAAGGCAACTCTTGGTCAAAGTAGATGGCCTTAACTAGATTAGACTGAGCATTTTTTTCTTTACTTGGGACTACATGCAGGTGGCCACAAATGATGCTGTGCATACCAGCAAAGTTAATCCTGAGGAAGAGCTGCCCATCCAGCCTCTCCCTGTCCGTTGTCTCAGGGTTTCACAAGGATGTGGAGCCAGAAGCCTTGGTCTAGATAAGTTTGGCTTGCAGCATGTAAGTAAGCAGGCTATGAGAAAGAGAATGGCGCCTTCAGCATGTACACACTGAACCAAGGGGTCTCCATTTTAGGGTTTCCTTTGCATATCCCCATCGCTCACGTCTAACTGCTACCTATCATTCCTCCAACCCGCCTCAAGGACTCAAGATCCTGAACTCTTGTAGGGAATGGGAAGTTGAAGTCAAGTCTTTGGTTGCTTCATTCTGGTATGGGGCATAGGCCCCGGCAAGTGCTCTCTATCGATGGGGACAGCTAAGATCCCAGGTCAGAGACAATCCAAGAGGCCCTACAGAAGGGGGAATATCCTTTGGAGATTGTAACCAGTGAGAGTTGTGTCTGAGGAAGAGGAGCCATTCTCAAGAGTTTAGAGGAGCCAGTGTATCATTTGTAGTTTTACAGCCTGGAGTCCATTAGGTTTAATTCTATCTATCCTAAAGGTGATGTCCTAGTATCTCTGCAAAATATTGCTCAGGTTTCTGTAGCTGTACTTCTCTCAGTGTATCTGAGTCAGCTCCAAAAGATGTTACAAGAGGGGTTCAATGTAGCTATAGTGATTCTTGTATATGGCAAGAGATTTTGGGCAAAACACAAAACATTATAAAAGCATAGTTTATTAAGAACAGAAAGGCACTTTCAGAGGTGAAAGTAGGTTGTCTTAGAAAGAGAGGTCAAGAGATCCTGCATTTCTTTTTTTTTTTGGTGGCACAAGGATTTGAATTCAGGGCCTCACACTTGCTAAGCAGGTCACTCCATTCACTCCACCAGCCCTTTTAATGTCATGGGTTTTTGTGTAATAGGCTCACTTGAACTATTTGCCTGGGACTGGCTTCTAACCTCAAACTGCCTGATCTCTGCCTCCTGAGTAGTTAGGATTACAGGTGTAAACCACCTGCATCCACTGATCCTGCATTTCTTGATAATGAGCAGGGAAGGAGTCAAGTTGCTATTGTTATAGTTCTCAATTGATAAATTACTTCCATAATATATGTTGGGCAAGCTACTTAATTGTCTATGTTGCGGTTTCCTCAGCAACAAAACAAGAATACTAATTGCACCTAACTAGGAAGATTAAATGATTAAATGAGAGAAAATACATGTGAAACCCTAAGTATCTGAACTCAGGTTAGTTATGATTATTGAAACATACATGGACACTCTTATTTACTTGACAATTCTTCAATGTTAATCAGAAAAAAACTGATGATAAAAAGATAATACTGGTTGATCCAGCAAACCCTTATGCAAAGACTCATTTTCTGCCCTACACTCTAGGTTCTAAAGTTAAACTGCTTGTGTTTTCCCCATCCATATCACTCCAGAACTTTCTCTAGGGATTCTCAGGTGAGATTGCTTGAAAAAGAAAAAAACAAAAAAACTCAGCAATATTTAAGTGTAAGTACTATATTCTTCAGCCACACACATTTTTTACTGATGACCTGAATAAAAACCGGAACTAAATATATGATAGGTGAGACAGGTAATAACTAAAGACTATTAAAAACAAAACAAAAAAACCAGTCCCAAGATGGCCACCACTACGAAGATGGCACAGATGATATCTACATTACTTTCGAAGATCAACAAAAGATAAACAAATTTTCTCAGAGCACAAGTAAAATCACAGAGCTAAAGGAAGAAAAAGAAGTAAAACAGAACTCCAAAATTTTGAAGATGCTTGTGATGACATCCTGCTTGCAGATGATGACAGCTTAATGATTCTGTATCAAATCGAGAATGTTTTCATTAGCTACTCTCAAGAAGAAACCCAGGAAATGTTAGAAGATGCAAAGAAAAATTTGCAAGACAAAACTGATGCCTTAGAATCCAGAGTGGAGTAAATTCAGTGGGTGTTAGCAGATTTGAAAGTTCAGTTATGTGCAAAATTTGGCAGCAACATAAACCTTAAAGCCAATGAAAGTTAAGTATTTTATAATACTTTTTAAAATCTGTTTTTAAAACTTGTTTTAAATGATAAAACAACAATAACATCAACAAAAAACAAATGATGACCACCATCAAAAACTACTAGAGGGGCTGGGGACATGGCTCAAGTGGTAAAGTACCTGCCTAGCAAGCAGGAAGCTTAGAGCTCAAACCCCAATACTACCTCCCCAAAACAAAGACAAAACCAAAAAACATCTGGGAATGGCCATAAGTCCTAGTTACCTAGGAGGCTGAAGCAGGAGGATCACTTGAGCCCAGGAGCTTAAAACCAACAAGGGCAACATAGTGAGTGTGTGTCTAAAAATACAAGACAAAATACTATTAGAGAGAAAGATAACAAGGTGGAGAGCATGGATCTTTTAACAGAATCTCATTTCACTCTCAGAAGTACCCCAGGTCAGTGACTGAGTCACTCCATATGTTAGGTTTACTACTGTAGAGATTACTAAACTGAAAATTTATGGCTTACTGGGGAAGACGAGGTACACATATAATTAAATATTTCTATTGAAGGCAATACAGCAAACGAATGAAGGTTTCAAATGTGTGACTTTGGGTTAGATTAACATCTTAATTTCAGTATCTTTAACATTTAAAAATTTAGTATAAAGCATCAACTAGTTATACCAGGTTAATTAAAACAAAGAGCAGTCCTCTACCACTCCCACTCCCACTCATTTCCTCTTTGTAAGTTAACCACTTATAACTTTTTGTTCACCCACTGAGCTACACAGCCCTAACCTCTTATGTTGCTGGCCTCGAGTTCATGATCCTCCTGCTTCCATCTACCAGAGTTCTGGGATTATAGGCAGCTTTTATTTCTGAATCTTCTAGTATCAAATTTGTTTCACTATATACTGATTTTTCCTCCCAGTGTTAGGTATCATCAATTGACTTCTCAGTGAGAAAGATGGACATTTAGCTCCCTTCCTCTCATCAGGTTCACTACACACACCATTGGAATTACCTTTTGATTACAGAATTTCGTGGGCAGAATAACTACTTGTGAGGGACTCTCATGTGCACTATAGGATGTTTAATAGCATTCCCAGATGCCAACAGCACCAGTATAACAGTAAAACATATGACCAGACATTTTTAAATGTTCCCAAGGGGACCAAAATAAATCCCTGGTTGAGAACTGGCTCAAGAATCAGTCTTTGTATTTTATGACTGCATATCCTACTCAGTAATAAACCACTAATGACAAGACTTCAAGTTTTTTCTTAAGGTCTTCATATATCACTAAGGCTTTCTCCACTGGTATTCTCAGAAGACTTGTCATTAATCACTTTAAAATACTCATCCACTAGGGGCAGGATGTGTGTGGGGAGGATACTTATAGAACCTTTCCTTTCTACCTAGATTGGCCAGACCTGAGTTGCACTGCACTAACTATGAATGGTAGAATGAACAGACTTTTTTCCTAAGGGATCAAAGTGGCAGGCAATACAGTATTTCAAGAAGGTCTGGATATTTGTCTGCAGCCTATTTTGACTATGCGTGTGTTCCCATTTGCTCCCTTTCTGTTGTCTATTTAGGAGAAAAAAATTGTAACCTATGTGCAAGCCTTATGCCTTTTAGAGGAGAAAGGTCTGTTTTTCCAGAGTTTATAAACTTATTGCCCTTAGGATAGATAAAAAGATCAGGAATTGTATGCACATATGAATAAAATAAAAATTATATAATAGGTTTTTTGGAGGGGTGGTACTGTGGTTTAAACTAAGAGCCTCATGCTTGTGAGGCAGGCACTCTACCATATGAGCCATTCCACTGGCCCTCTTTTGTGTGTTGGGTATTTTCAAGATAAGGTCTCACAAACTATTTCTCCAGGGCTGGCTCTGAATCAAAATCCTACTGATCTCTTCCTCCCAAGTAGCTAGGATGACAGGTGTGAGCCACAGGCATCCAGCTCAAATAAGATATTTTTATTAACAAAACCAGAAGCTGATTAGGCTACTTTTGCCATGTACTTTCTTTGAAAAAATAGCTCATATTATGACTTGGTTTATTTGGGGGCACACACTTATATCCAAAGCACCTGGGAGGTTGACAAAGGACAACCAAGAGTTTGAGGCCAGCTTGGACCACACAGTGAGACCATGTCTCACCAAAAAAAAAAAAAAAAAAAAAAAAATTACTGAGGAAAATACTTTCATAACTTTGGCAGGCAGATTCCTTAAATAAGATTTAAGACAATGAAAGAAATTAGTCTGAGAAATGGGCTGGGGGCCTGCCTTAAGCAGCAGAGTGCCTGCCTAGTTAAGTGTGAGGCCCTGAGTTCTACAACTCAGTAATTAAAAGACAATCCAATCTGGGACAGGGCATGTGGTGTGCACCTGTTGTCCCAACTACTTGGGAGGCTGATGCAGGGCTGCTTCAGCCCAGGAATTTGGGGCCAGCCTGGGCAACAGATTAAAATACCCACACAAATAATAAGGCTAAAAAGATAACCCATTTAAAACACATGACTGAAGGCTTGAATACAAAAAACAAAAGAAGATGTATGAGTGATAAAAAATTATCAGGTTGAGATCATTATTTCATCCCTGGCATGGCTTTAAAAAAAAAAAAAAAAAGAAAGAAATGGTGGCACTGGGGTTTGAACTTGTACTTGCTAGGCAGCCTCTACCACCTGAGCCATACCCCTAGCCAGTTTTGCGTTAGTTATTATACAGAAAGGGTCTAGAATTTTTGACAGGGCTGGCCTAAGACCGCAATCTTACCATCTACAACTTCCAGCATAGATGGGTTCATAGTTGTGTACCACCATGTCCAGCTTACTTGCTGAGATGGGGTCTTGCTAACTTTTTGCCTGGGCTGGCCTTGAATGAAGATCCTCCCAATCTCTGCCTCCCAAGTAGCTGGGATTACAGGTGTGGGCACTGTGTTCAGCTCAAAATTATAGTTTGAAGAAAGAGACTGGTAAGGCATTGGAGGTAAGGGATGTAAGGTATCCTTATATCCTTGTATATGTGTGTGACTAGGATTTGAACTCAGAGCGTCACAACTGCAAAGCAGGTCTACCGCTTGAGTCACACCTCCTGTTCATTTGCTCTGGTTATTTTGGAGATGGGATCTTGCAAACTACTTACCCCAGCTGGCCTGATCTCAGCTTCTTAAGAAGCTAGGATTATAGGTGTGACTCACTAGCACTTGGCTTCTTTTTATCTTTTAGTTTAATATTCTTTTCATTTAAGAGAAGAGAAAGAATCGAGGAAATTAACTTAGCTAACTGACAGTTGTTAAACATTTTAATTTTTTTGTTTATTGCAGTGCTAGGGATTAAAATCAGGGCGTTGCACATGCCAGGTAAGCACCCTATCACTGAGCCACACCACCATATTACCAAAAATTTTTTTAAAAAATGTTGATCATATATTTTATTATTTTTTTTAAAATTTCCTTTATTCATATGTGTATACAATGATTGGGTCATTACTTCCTCCTTCCCATATTACCAAATTTTAATCAGAATGTGGAATAAGTAGAACTATCAAGTTGTTAGTATGAGTACAAAAATAGTACAGAAGAAAAAAAAAATTCTTGTAACTTCTGTGAAAAGCGAACATTAAAAGTCAAACCACGGATAGATAATTTCAATACTTAACAAGGAGGGGTCAGCTCAATGACAGAAGGATAAAATGAAAACCAGATGAGGGTCTAAATAAAAGTAGTTAATGTAAGCAAACAGTAAAACTATTATATATATGCGACCATTTAAATTTCATTGAAAAGAATTACCTGTTTATATTCGTTAACACAACTCTGGCAGCAAAATCTTTTCTGCTGACCTCCAATGAAGATGCTGTTCCCAGTATTCTTATTGGGCATGTACTCTCCACACTGTTCACAGCAGTTCATTATTAGACCATTGGCCTCTCTGTACTCATTAAAGCAATGATTACTGCACAGTTTATGTGTTATATTATTAACACTGACTTCATGGCGAATCTAAAAGAAAAGAACCAAAATTTGTGAACTAAAATAAACCATTGTTTATTGCTTTTTTTTTTTGGTGGTACTGGAGATTGAACTCAGGGCCTCATGGTTGCTAGACAGGTGTTCTATCACTTGAGCTACTCCACTAGTCCTTTTTTGTGTTATTTTTGAGATAGAGACTTGGGAGCTATTTGCCCTGGGCTGGTTTCAAACAATGATCCTCCTGATCTCTGACTCTTGAGTAGCTAGGATTACAGGTGTGAGCCACCAGCACCCGGTGGCTCCTCAACTTTCTGGGCTAAGATTAAGTGTAATATCTGTTTTTACCAGTTTAATGTATGAACCAGATTACTATACTAAGTGATCAAGTATTTTCTGCAAAAGAAACAAAGAACTCCTAATAATATTTCATTGAAAGATACATTCAGGAAAAATATTTAAAAACACAGTTATTCACTTTTAAATTTCTTTAAAATGAAGATTAAAAGCAATAAAATCAGTAATAACTTTCCTGAAGACATTTAAGAATGAGAGAAAATGAGCTGATATTTTTGGGCTTTTTCTTTTGAGAGTGTCTCCCTATATAGCCCAGGCTGGCCTCAAACTCAAGATTCTTCTGCTTCAGCCTCCCAAATGCTAGAATTATAAGCTTGGATCAGCTGTAGCTAAATGAGTTTATTTTTGATACAATATGCTCAAAAGAAATGGACTGGGAATTCTTAGATAATATTATAAACATTCACTGCCCAGAACATTTTGGGAGGAATAGGTAATCATTATCTATACTTTGGATGCTATTAATGTATCCATCAGTAAGGCTGTTCTCAATGTGGTATTTGTGATAAAACTTGTATTCCTTGATTTGCACTGTGGGAACCAACACCCAATTTAGTTACTAAGGACAATGTAAATCGAGGACTGTCTGAATACCTGTTTCTTCCTCTCCTAGCAACTTGAAAGAGCAAAATACTACTTAAGATCAAATGAAAAACATTCATTCATTCCACTTGTTTCACATTTTCTCATATCAGAATGTGTTGCTTCCTGCATACCCTAAAATTGCACTTTTGTGTTAATATAAACAAAATTCACCATAAACTACTGCCTTGTTTATGATTACAGTTAATTCCCTAAAATAGATGTGTAGTTTCCACAGTAGGCAGTACTGGGGATTGAACCCAGAGCCTCTCTCATGCTTGAAAAGGCTTTACAGTTTGAGCCACACCACAGCTCTTTGCCTTGCTCAGGCTGGCTTCAAACATACTCCTGCCTCTCTTCCAGAGTAGCTGGGATTACAGTCATGCTCTATCATTGTTTTTAGTAAAATAGATCTAACATAGCCTTACTCTTCCTTTTAACTTCATGATATACAAGTATGATTATGTGGTCTATGTAGATGACAGAGTTTACAATAGCACTTAAAAGTTAAAATTATACCTAATAATTTAGGTATAAAAATCGAGACCTACCCAGGCACCAGTGGCTCATGCCTATAATCCTAGCTATTCAGGAGGCAGAGATCAAGAAGATCACAGCTCAAAGCCAGCTTGAGCAAATAGTTCAAGAGACCCTATCTTGCAAAAACCCATCACAAAAAAAGGGCTAGTGGAGTGGCTTGAGGTATAGGTCCTGAGTTCAAATCCCAGTATTGGAAAAAAAAAAATCCAGACCTCTCCTAATTTACTACAGATTGTACATCTTGACTTATTTAAAACTCCTTTTTTAAGATTCTGGTTGTCTTCGTAGGGAGGCAAAGAAGATGTACTATAAAATTCTTGAAAGGATTTGCTTGATTCCACTGCAGGACTAGAAGAAGTCTGCTTTCTGGGTGCATCTCTGAAACACAAAAGAGACCACAATTTAAGAACAATACATTTTTTTTTTTTGATGGGACTGGGATTTGAACCCAGGGCATCTCGCTTGCAAGGCAAGGGCTCTATTGCTTGAGCCACACCTCCAGTCCAGAACAATGTACTTTATGAACGGTAACTGACATTTTTCATTTAATTGTGACTAATCCTAGGAATTAACTGTAACTTGGGTGTAGTAAAATCCACTTTTGACTTTATTGCCATGAGTTTCTAATAAATATGGAAAGAGAAGATTCCAAGATAAAAATCTTTTGTAGTATTAGAGATAAGAGCAAAATAGTTTCTGCCTGGTAGCAAGGTGGCGGGGGCGGGGGGGTGGGGAGTAGGGGGAGAAATGAACCAAACATTGTATGCATGTATGAATAAAAGAAATAAAAATTAAAATTAAAAAAAAAATCTTTTGTATACAAGAAACTTACTCCACTTCTTTAGCTTTTTAGAAGCATTAAAGGCTGGTAGTAACTTACTCCCTAACTTAGGATAAGACAAGGGCAGAGACAGAGACAGTGTGAAAGAGTGGAGCAATGTACTTCTTTACCTGTATTATATTTCTCTATCCAGAATAAGTACAGTGTAAATGAGCCTATAGCTCTGAAACACTGTTGAAGACACCCTGGCAATAATTCTATCATGAGTCTATTCAGTTAGTGATTACATTCAATGTATTTATTTATACTGCTAGTACTCACAACTACAGGGAGAAATGTTGAAAATTACTTCTTACTTTTTACACGCTGCATTTCGTGTCTTTCGAGCACGTTTATGAGAAAAAGAAGAAAGGCAGGTAGTTGAACAAAAGAGGTGAGCTGATCCTTTTCGTTGATAAGCTGTCTGTCCTTTCTGTAAAGGATTTTTGCAGTTTGCACAAGTGATTTTAGCTGGTTTAGTAAGTTGCTGTTGGGCAGAAGGCTGGAAAATCTGTTTAGGAAGCGAGGCCACTGGTGGTAAAGATTCCACCCCTGGTTGTTTCTTATTACGGGGAAATGATGCTGACTGGGAGATCCAAGAATCTTCAAAATGAAACACACAAGAAAAAGTCATGGAACAAATCAAAATTCACATTAGGAAAATATTTAAAATTTTAATAGTTTAAGAGACTGGTAGTGGGCTAGGGCATTGCTCAAGTGTTAGTGAGCCTGTCTAGCAAGTGAGAGGTCCTGAGTTCAAGCCCCAGTTCTGTAGAACCTTAAAAACAAACAAACAAACAAAAAAAGGCACTAGTGGTGAGGCAGCCATATCAGCGCATGGTTAAGGCCAGACAGCCCTGATGTATAATCTAGGGTAACTACCCACTGTGCATACCAAGAGATGACATTTTTGGTGCCAATAATAAGTGGTGGCCACCAAATTGTGCAACCTGGTAGCCACCAACAATTCAGACTCCCCAGGTTCAAAATGTCTCTCCTGGGCTGGGATGTAGCTCAGTGGTACAGTGCTTGCCTAGCATGTGCGAGAACCTGAGTTTGATCCCAGCACCGGAAAAAAAAATACAAAAAACTGTCTCTCCTGAACTTACAGATTATGCAAGTATATTAAGCTCTTAACACTTGGCTTTTCTCTTTCTGGTGCTAGGAACTGAACGCAGGACCTTGCACACACTAGGTAAGTGGTCTGCCACAGAGTTACATTCCCAGTCTGTTGTGTCTTGGTTTCCTTAGCTTTAAATTGCAATTATACCTAATTAACCAGTGTCATAAATAAAATAACGCTTATAACAGCAAAGCATTATGACACACAGGGCACACCGGAAACATTAACTTTAAATAATAATACATTTATAGAATAAAGCAAGGATATGCAGATACACAGATAACTGATAACTTGTTTGGCCATCCAGAGTCCTTGAGAAATGTGACAAGATTGGTCATTTACATACACAATCTATTTACATTACCATTATAAAAAATGTAAAACATAAAAGTTGAAAAAATTTGACATCTAACATCCATATACCCACCAAGTAGATTCAATTAGTGTTTTTGCTTTACCATTTTTTTCCATCTATTCGTTACTCTAAACAATACATCTTTTTTGTGTATTTCAGGAAAACTATAATCAGTAAACTTCTCTTCAAAATGCTTTAGAAATAACACTTTAATGCAAATCTACAATTATTTCCCAGCCTTCTAAAACACTTTCACAGGCATTAATATAGGTGATGAGTTACTTAAGAAATGTACGGCTTTCCTTAGACATAAATTATTGTTTATGTTATCTTCATAACGGTTCAGTGTTACATAAAAATGAAGTGTTTCTCAATCTTTAACATGCTTCTGAAATCACTTGGGAATCTTATTTAAAGACATTTTAGCTCAGTAGGTTTAATGAAGAACCCAACATTCTGTACTTCTAGTCAAATCCCAGTTATGGTGACCTTTAAAGAAACATGATCCTGCCAGGCACCAGCGGCTTACGCTTTTAATTCTAGTTACATAAGAGGCAGAGATCAGTCCCAGGCAAATAGTTCTCAAGACCCTATCTAGAACAAACCCATCATAAAAAAAGGGCTGGCAAAGTGGCTCGAGTGGTAAGAGTGCCTGTCTATCAAGTACGAGGTCCTAAGTTCAAACCTCTAATATTGTCAAAAGAAAAAAGAAAAAGAAACAGGATCCTATGGTACAGAACTTTTTTTTTTTTGAGATGACATTTCAGTATGTTACCCAAGTTCATTTTGAACTTGAGGACAATCCTCTGGAGTAGCTGGGACTACAGATGTGTACCACCATGCCTGGCTTGGACTTGTTTTTTTCATCCCTCCTCAAAAACAGATTTTGTCTCGTGGCAGTCAGCAAGAGGTCTGTGGTATGTTCTACCTGTTACTGCCTTTGAAGACTTTTACAATAAGACCAGCACTAAGAACCCTATCACATTCACTTCTAAAATGCTACCTTATATTTCCAATTTTCTTTGTCCTGCTTTCAAATTCTTTTATTTTATAGGTAAAAACAAGAACATGGAACAAAAGGAAAGTTTTTCATTCTTCAAGATGGTATGCTGGCAAATCTTGAGTATATCTGAATAAACTTACTATCACTCAAAGAGCATGTTCCTTGCAAAGGGTATATAGCTCAGTGGCAGTTTTTGCCTAGCATGAATGAGGCCCTGGGTTCAATTCCCAGGCACCACAAAAAAAGAAAAAACAAAGAGGATTTGTTTTTTAAATAAATTTTCCTAAATAAATATATCATGAATCTGATACCTGAAATCATCCAGTTATTTAGGACTGACTATGTTTATGTTAGCATTTCTAACTCTTGGAAAAATGCTGGGAGAAAAAAGGAGACACAATCACAGGTGCATTTTTCTTTTCACCACTGTATTTTCATATTGTAATGTATCTCGGTCACGTGCAGTATCTACAGACTACAGGATAGATATGTGTCTTTCATCTCAAACTAGAGTGTCTAAAACTGACCTATTATTTTCCTCCACCCCTCATGTTTCACTAAATCACAGTTCTTTTATATTCCTATCTCTTATATTGACATTGCCTTAGAAGTGACTTAACCTCTAAGAAAGCATCCAACATATTTTCTCAATTATTTCCACCTGATAAACTTGGTGAACAGTCTCTATTAAATCTGAGTAAAGGATATAGTTCTATAGCTTTTGTCTTTAAACATAAACATTTAGAGAACAGAGAACTCAGAAATGCTGTAAGTTTAGCTCATACTTAAAAGACAACAGAAATTCCTTGTTATAAATAAAATAAATGCAGTTATGGAGACATTCTGCTTCATTTATATCAGGTTTTATATACATATTGCTGTTGTTTTTTAAGACAAAGTCTCGTTACTCTGCCCAGGCTGGCCTCAAATTCGCAATCCTCTGGCCTCAGCATCCCCAGTAGCTGGGATTATAGGTGAGAACCACTGGGTCTGGCCTTTTGGTTAATTTATATGAACAAGTGTCAAGTGAAATCATTCAGTGATTTCTGTTTCATTTTAAAATCAGTAATATTTAATCTGATGAGAATATCAAATACTAAGAATGAGATAAAGAGATGACAAGAATAAAAAGAAATCCAAGGGGCCCTGAGTGTTACAATGCTTGCCTAGCACACTCAGAGCCCTGGCTTTGATTCTCAGCACTGGAAAAAAAGAAAAAGAGAAAAAAAAAAAGTTAGGCATGGTAGCACATGCCTGTAAGAGGACAGCCTGGGCAAGTTAAAGAGACCCTATCTCAAAAGCAAAATGCAGAAACAAAATACAAGCCAGGTTTGGTGACTCATGCCTGTAATCCTAGCTACCTGGGAGACTGAAATCAAGAGGGTCCAGGTTCTAGGCCAGCCTAGACAAACAGTTCCCAAGACCCCATCTTCAAAATAACCAGAACAAAATGGACTGGATCTATGGCTTAAGCAGTAGAACACCTGTTTGGCAAGCATGAAGCCCCAAGTTCAAATCCCAGTCCCACTAAAACAACAAAACACAAACAACCCCCCCAAAAACAAAAACAAAAGGGCTGGGGGCATAGCTCAAGTGGTAGAGCACTTGCCTAGCATATGTGAGATCTTGAGTTTAATCTTAAGTATTGCAACTGCCCTTCCAAAATAAACAAATCCAAGTTTAATCAAAATTACTTTCAGGGGCCCAGGGTATGGCTTAGGGGTACCGTGCTTTGTCCTGGATTTAATACCCAGTGCCAGAAAAAAAGCTGACATGTGACTACAAATGTACTTCTAGAAACTTTTCAAAACAACGTGGCACATGCACAGATGTTCATGAGAAACCTGGTTTACAAATGCAATGAACAGAAACAATTCTAAACAATAAACTATTCAATGAATGGTAAACATAAAAAGATAATTGTATTTGATATATGCTGCTATATTCAATGAAATATATGACCAATGCTTCTTCGAGGTCAAAACCAACACAAGGCTTTAAACTCTTACCTCTTCTACTCAGCACTGTATTAAAAAAGAACCTAAAGAGGATGTCTGAGGCCAAACTATTTCCATAATAGCACTAAGATTTAGTTGTCCCTTTTCATCACTGTGTTGGCATTTGTATTAGTGGTACAAAACTGAGCAGTGGACCCAAGCTGTACTAACAAGCAGTTTTCACTATCATGCACCTGAAAAAAACAAAGTGTCACCTTTACTTATGAAGTTTTAGCATTAGACCCCACAGGTTTAAAGTCATGGTCTGGGCTACCTTAACTCTCTAACTCTAATCACTTAGCTCGTCTAGCTTGAGTCAGGCCTTCACTTGAAGATCCTACTTGCACTTCTAATCAACTGCCTGTAAATCTGAGAGGTTCCCAAGACCTGCAACCCCTGCCAAGATTTGAACACATCATAGAATGATTCACACAGTTAAGGAAAGCTCTATACCTACAATTACAGTTTTATTACAAAGAATACAAATTCAGAACAGCCAAATGGAGACATATAAATCTGTAAGGGTCCAGAATACAGAGGCTGCAGACCAGTTCTGTGTGTAATCAGGCAGCATCATTCTTCTCCCACACTAACGTTTTCATCAACCAAGAGTATGAAATGAGCACCAATGTCTACAGTTTTACCAGGGTCTCATTCCATAGGCATGTTGGTTCATATCATTGGCCACATGATTGTACTCACTTTTCTCCAGCTGCCTTTCCCTCTGTCTGGGTTGCCTCAACTCTTGAACTCTCAATCCTGACAAGCTAGCATTCTGACAAGCTAGTGATCAAAGTTTTCTTAAGGAACAGCAGAAAAGCACCTGCACAATTGTTGTACTCTTGAGTTTTAAAATAGCCATTTTCATGAAGTACCTTTTTTTTAATTGAAAGAATGATAAACTTAAGACTACTGGGAAGCATTTTATAAAAATGAATCAAATGAGCCTGTCACTTCAAGAAAACTCACAGTACTTGTTAATAAGAAAATTTGAACTTTCAAGTGAAAATTAAAACTTTTGGTAACTTGTGTCCACCTCTGTGATTTTGATAGCTTCCTAAACTATCAACACTTAAAAGATCTGTGTAACTCAGTGAACCATTATTTCTAATTCACAAAAACCAATTCACAATGACACCAAGTCACACAAAGGTAAAAAACTCATTCAAAGATCAATCGATTTTACAGTAACAGAGTATGAAAAATTCATAATGTTATACCGTTTCAGATTCCACTTTTAAAGATTTTTTAAAAGCTATTAAATGTCAACTTTGGTGCTATATCAAAGAAAAAATATCAGTAACTACTTAAAAAGACTACTTAAAATAATTCTTGTGCTGGAGGCATGACTCAAGCAGTAGCAAGACTGCCTAACAAGTACAAAGCCCTGAGTTAAAACCCCAAAACTGAAGGAGGTTAAAAAAAAAAAAAAAAAGCCCCAAAACCTAAATCCTCCCTTCTCCACCCAGACTTTTCTAATACTTTAAGCCATAGATTCCATATAGAAATTGATGTGAGAAGCTTGATTTTGAGATTGTGAAAATGTAAAGCAGTATCACTTTTCACTAAATTTACTGAAAACAGCATTTTTTTCATTAAAAATATTACTGTTATATAATGAGTAATTATTTATAAATGAATACTTTTAAAATTTCCTAAGCTTTTAATTTTCAATAGATTAACAGATTTTAAAAAAAGAAAACTTTGGGGTGCTCAATCATTTTAAGAAAACTGAGACCAAAAAGTTTGAGTATAGCCAGGTGTGGTGGTGCACACGTATAAGAGCAGAACTCAGGAGACTGAGGTAGGAGGATGTTAGCTGAAGACCAGCTTGGGCTACCTAATGAGATCGTGTTTCAAAAAGCTAAAAAACCAGCCAGGGGCCAGTGGCTCATATCTTGTCATCCAAGCTACTTGGGAAGCTGAGATAAGGGTAGGAGGGGGAAATCTTAAGTTCAAGACCTGGGTAGGGAGTTTGTGAGAACACCATCTCAATCAACAGCTGGGCAAGATGACACACCTGCCATTCCCTTACATGGGAGGCTGAGATCAGAAGGATCACAATTGCAGACCGGCCCAGTAAAAAAGTTTTCGAGACCCCATCTCAATGGAAAAAAGTGGGGCATGGTAGTGAGCCCCTGTCATCCCAACTATGGCAGGGGCATAAAATAGGACTGCCTATCTCTAAAATAGCCAGAGCAAAAAGGCCTGGAGGCATGGCTCAAGTGGTAGAGTGCCTGTCTTGCAAACTCAACAGCCAAGAGTTCAAACCCTATTACCACTAAAAAACTGGGTATTGGAGTGGCTCAAGTATTTTCTGGGGAGAGTGTGAACCCAGGGCCTCATACATACTAGTCAAGAACTCTACAACTGAGCTAACTCCCCAGCCAATCAGAGTATTCTTATAACCAGCAAAGAAGATTGTAATTTAAAAAATAAGAAGGCTGGGGCATGGCTCAAACCCTGCTTAGCAAGCACAAGTTTCATCCTAAAATTCAACAGGATAAAAAGTACTAAAATGGTCAAAAACCCAGAACTGGCCTCTGACCCCCAAACCCCACATAAATAATGGAAAAGCCATAAAAAGTAATTGTTAATTTTTTGTTTGCTTTTTGAGACAGAGCCTCACTATTTAGTCCAAGCTAGCTCTGAACTTGCAATCCTCTTCTCTTCACCTCCTGGAGTGCCTGAGTGCTGGGATTACAGGTGTGTGCCAACATATCTATTACGGATTGCTTTTTTTTTTAATTTTATCAGAATAAGACTATTAACGTTAAAGTTTTTTAAATACAGTATATAGTTCTCTGATCTAAAACTTTCCAACTTTTAAAATCAAGAAACTAATAAAATGCTGATTTAAAATTAAAATCAGAGCCGGGAGTGGTGGCTCACAACTGTAATACCAGCTACCTGGGAGGCAGAGAACAGGAGGACATTGGTTTGAGTACAGAATGGGCAAAAGTTAATGAGACTTCTATCACCTCAACAAATAAACTGAGCACGGCGGCTTATACTTGTAATCCTCGCTACAAGGGAAGAATAGGTAGAAGGCCTGTGTGGTCTGAGGCCCAGAGCAAAAATGTGAGACTCTATCTGAAAAAAAAAAAATAACCACAGCAAAAAAGGGCTGGAAGCATGGCTCAAGTGGTAGAGTGCCTGAGTTCAAATCCCAGTACCATCAAAACAAAAATAAACTGACAATCAAAACTACGCTGCTCCAAAGTAAACACTTCAATAGCAAAAATGGCAATGTCAAATTACATAATTACAAATTAAAATTCAATTATTACATAATATTACTTGGTAATATATTACTTTGTTCATTCAGTTCACTGTCCATCTTCTTATTCTACAGTATTTATTCATTTATTCATCATTTCCAGTGCTGGGAAGTGGAATCAGGCCTCAGGCATGCTAACATATGCTCTATCACTGACCTACTACATCCTCAGCCCTACAATTTTTATGTTAAAATAAACAAGAGTGGCTGGGTGCTAATGGCTCACACCTGTAATCCTACCTACTCAGGAAGCAGAGATCATGAGGATCGAGGTTCGAAGTCAGTCCAGAGAAACAGTTCAAGAGACCCTATCTAGAAAAAAACTCATCACAAAAAAAAGAGCTGGCAGTGTCTCATGCAATAAAGCGACTACCTACCAAGTATGAGGCATAAGTTAAAGCCCCAGTTACTGCCAAAAAATAATTAAAATAAAATAAGCAGGGGTGGTGGTAGTAGTTAATGACGGCTTTCAATTAAAACACTTTAGATATAAATCACATTGAGTAGAGCAAGATTAACCTCCCCAAACTTCAAAGTAGTGCCTTATTAGAGTAAGTAAAATATTCTATCTTAACATGAAAGCTAATAAATTACTTCATACAGAATACAAATAAAGCAGGTATGAGTACTAAAAAAGAATAGCTAAAAGTTTATTTCCTTTAAGTAGAAAACAAATAACATCATTTACTGCTTACCAGGATTATGATGAATTGCAAATCTTGTATTCTGAAATACATCTCCTGCCACATTCATTTTATCAGGATTAAAAGGTTCTACTCCAGTCTTGGTCTGTGAAGTTAAAGATGGGGTGTATGTTTGTATATTAACACCAAAATTACTTGACTGAAGTCCTTTAGCGACATCTCCCAAGTTGGAATTCTATAGTGATGTGATATGTGTAATCATTAGGTTCGTATCACGCCCAGCATTCAGAGCTTACACTTGTTTTTAAGGTTGTAACATTAATAATATGCATTTCAGAGAGTCCATTACCCATTCCTGAATTTACCTTACTTCTTGAAAGACTGGAAGTGGAGAAATCCAAATCTTTGGTACTATTTTTAGTTCCAGGAAGTGCCCACTCAGGAAAACTGGAAGAATTTTTCTCCTCCATTCCATTTGTTTCTATGTCCTCTTCATCATCAATAACAATTGTGTCACATGTATTTCCCTTCTGAGAAGGCACATCTCTTGAGTAAGGTGGAATTATGGAGTAATTTCCTTGTTGCTTTTCATGTTTTGATGGCGTGAATACAAAGGTTCTTTGATTAGCTATTGCTGAAGCAGAAACTGAAGGAGGGTGTATAGATTCAATAAATACAACATCATCATCTTCTTCCACCGAAGTGTTTCTAGTTCTATTGACTAAAGGACTAGGTGGATCACCAAATGAATTTATGTCCATAAGACTAGCTGCCATGGTTGCATTTCCTAATAAAGCAGGAGACTGTTCAGTCAGTCCTACTCCTCCAACTGACTGTTCATCCATACCAAGAACCTGTAAAAGGGAAAAGAAAAAGTTTTCCTTTTTTTTTTGTATTTTACTGCAATGAAACAGCACTGGTAAAACTTTTTTTTTTTAAACATAATTCTTTATCTAAACATTTTTGAAAAAACCAATATTCTTGTTTACTTAAATGTTTACTTTGTAGAGTGATGATATGTGATTTATATATTGGTTTTTTTTTTTTTGAGATAAGGTCTTTCTATGTAACTCAAGTTGGCTTCAAACTTGAGCTCTATTTGCTTTGCCTCCTGAAGGCTGGGATTATGCACCTGGCGACATTTATTCTTAATATGTGTCTTTAAATATGTTAACTCAGTTAATGCTCATGTATGTGAGGTAGGAACTATTCTTTTTACTACATTACCAGTAAAGAAACTAGGATTAAGAATATAAGTAATATGTACAAATCTCCAGTGCTAGAAAAGGTGAGTTGGGATTCAAATTCAATAAATCTTACTCTAACCCTATTTCGTAGCCTCTATATTATATGCAACCGATGTGGAAAACAGTGGTTAATAATTACGTATCTTTTGTTAAAGAGACAATTCATTAACCAAAAATCAACATTCAAACAAGGCTATTGTCATTGGGAGACTGTTTGCCTATCAATGTGTGAGGGTTAAATCTCCAGTACCACCACCAAAAAAGAAAAAAAAAAAAAAAAAATCCAGGTACAGTGGCCCTTGCCTGGGATCCCAGCTACATGGGAGATAAGGGCAAGAGGATTTGAAGTTTGAGGCCAATCTGGATTACATAGGGAGACCCTAATTCAAAACAAACAAAACAAAAACTTTGAAAAGATATTTTACCTGGACTTAAATACTACACAATAGGTGTATGTACTGAAACCTAACACAGGAGTTAACTTAATGAGATAATTATATACACAATCCCAAAAATTGTTAAATCCCTTTGAAACTAGAAAGTATTTAGGCAAATTCTTTGTCTACATCCTAAGATTTCCACAAATGTCTAAGTAATTTTAAATCGTTACCTAGTTGTCTTGTGGTATCTTATTAATTTACATATTATATATATGTATTTTTTTGGTACTGAGGTCTGAACTCAGGGCCTTACACTTGCTAGGCAAGTACTCTTCCACTGAACTAAATCCCTAAACTCAGTAAGAACATTTAATTGATTCTGTAATATAATAGAAATTACTATTAAGAAGTAAACGTCAATATAAAAATCTAAGGAAAATCTGCACAGAAAAAGTCAATACAAATGCATATTACCATTATACAAAAAGTTAGGCTGAAACCCAAGCAAATTGCTTAAACTGAAACTATCTCTAGGGAATGGGAAACAAACTTTTAAAATTAACAGGACATCTCCATCTCCAGGAAAAAAAAAAAGGTGCTACCAATAAGGGATAAAGATAAGCATTAATGAGGGCTGGTGAGTGGCTCAAGCGGTAGTGGCAGAGTGCCTACTTAGCAAATGTGAGCTCCTGAGTTCAAACTCCAGAACCACAAAAACAAACAAACAAACAAAAAAAAACATTAAAACAAAGACATGAAAGATACTTTCCCCCTACCTAAATATTAAATATTAAATATTCAGCTTTCTTCTGGTAAAACTTCTTTTAGCAAAACCTCATAATTGGGATCCCCCCGCCCCAAAGTTGTTGCATTTACATGTTCTTTGGCATCTTATGGACTTGGTTATGATGTTTCTTTCTTTCTTCCTTTTTTTTTGAGACAGGGTCTCCTTATGTAGTCCAAGGTGGCCTGAAGCTCACTATTTTCTGTCACAGTCTTCTGAGTGCTGGGATTACAGTTGTGTGTTACTACACCCAGCCTACAGATTTTTCGTAATATAAAAAAAAACTTGGGCCAGGTGCTGGTGCCTCACACCTGTAATCCTAGCTACTCAGGAAGTAGAGATCAGGAGGATCAAGGTTAGAAGCCAGCCCCAGGTAAATATTTCAAGAGATCCTATCTCAAAAATATACAACGCAAGACAGGCCTGGCAGAGTGGCTCAAGTGGTAGAGTCCCTGCCTAGCAAGCATGAAGCCAAGTTCAAATGCCAGTATTGCCAAGAAACAAAAACAAAACTCAACTCCAAAGCCAGTTTCATATTTATTAAGTATTATACTATAAGTCTTCCCATTAAGAGTCAGAAGCAAATGTGTACCACTATACTAAAGGTACAAATGTAACAAGATATGAGAAAGAAAAATCAACTAAAAAGGCCCACAAATAGCAACAAGCATTGTAGTGCTCATTTATGAAACTACTTGTAGAAATCAATAGCCTGAAAGGAATTAAGGTGGCAGAATGAGCAGTGGTGATGGTGCAAGTCTGCTAGCCAACACTCTGGAGTGAGGCAGGAGGATGGTGAGTTTGAGGCCAGCCAGGGCTACACAAAAAGATGTCAGAATGATCACATACAACTAACTTCACTCCTTTCCAAAACTCCCCTCAACCATAATAAAGGTCCTATTTACAAAGAAAGGAAAAATAAGAAACTAAAGCAACCAACTCTTATAAGCTATAGAGCAGATGAATGAGTGGTTAACCAATTCAGATGACCTGACATGTCAAACTCTCAAATAATGATGGAAAAGACTGAAACATCCTGTCTACACTGTATTAGAATCTGTATGCACTGGAACAGAAGGGGTGAGTGGCTAACTAAGGAGGTTGGGAGATCCTAGACCCTTCCCTCCCATCATGTTATGGTGAGAGGCGTTTCCTTGCCCTAGCAATAGTTCTTAAATTCTGTTCTTTGGGGAGGACAGAACACAATATATTTGTCTTTGGTTCACCAAGCACCAGCAAAATGGTTCAATATAATGCATATAAAATGATCCCTCTCTCACTTGAGTCCCAAAAAATGGCACCCAGACCTTATCTTCTGGGTAGCAGGTTCTCTTCTCTGGAATATTTCACAGACTCATCCTTGTGGAGCTAAGAACCAATAAAAAGGAAAAAATCTAAATACAAGGATCTGCAAAACATCACCCTTTAGTGATGCAAGTTCAAAGTAAGGAAAACACCACTCTCAATCTTCCAATCTGCTTTCTAGTTCCCAAGTTTTTTTTGTTTTAGAGATAAGGTGTGGTGTGTGTGTATGGGGAAGATGGGTCAGTGGTAGAGCACTTGCCTAGCATGCATAAGGTCCTATGTTGATGCAGTGGAAGGGGACAGAAAAAGAAAATTAAACTGAGACAGGATCTCCCCACCCAGCTCAGGCTGATCAGGAACTCAAGATCTTTCCACCTTCTCCTGCTAATGCTGGGATTACAAGTATATGCCACCAGGCCCCGACAGTCACCAATTCTTTTCTTTTTTTTTTTTTTTTTTGCAGAGCTGAGGACTGAATCCAGAACCTCATGCATGCTAGGCAAGTGCTCTACCACTGAGCCACATCCCAGGCCTATTTAGTCACCTTTTTTTTTTTTTTTGGTGGTATTGGGGTTTGAACTCAGGGCCTCACACTTGTTAGGCAGCTGCTCTACCACTTAAGCCATTCCACTAGCCCATTTTTTGTGTTGGGTATTTTCAAGATAGGGTCTCACGAACAATTTGCCCAGGCTGGCTGTGAACCACCAACTTCCTGATCTCTGCCTCCTGAGTAGCTAGGATTATAGGTGTGAGCCACTGGCACTTGGCCTAGTCACCAATACTTAATCAAAAGTGAATTACATTTTTCCATTTTCTTACATGAGTACATAATAGTTCCAAGGAATAGGGGAGGGAATAAAGGAAAATGATGGAGGGGGTGAATTCAACCATGGCATATTGTAAGAACTTTTATAAATGTCACAATGTACCCCCAGTACAACAATAATATGATAAAAATTTTAAAAGTCATGTATGTGTGGATAGCCTTTAATATGAAAAACAGTTGAGGAAAAAATAAACTTAACAAATAATTCAGGAAAAAGAAAACAAGATGGGCCAGGCGCTGGTGGCTCACGCCTGTAATCCTAACCACTCAGGAGACAGAGATCAGGCAGATCAAGGTTAGAAGCCAGCCTGGGTAAACAAGTTCACAAGATCCTATCTCAAAAATACCCAACACAAAAAAGTGACTGGTGGAGTGACTCAAGGTGTAGGCTCTGAGTTCAAACTCCATAAAGAGGGAAAAAAAGGAAAACCACATAATAATCTACATGGATAAGAAATATGTAAGGATTAAAAGATTAAGAAATTCACATTTCTAGGGCTGGACACAGTGGCAAATGCTTGTAATTCTAGCTACACAGGAGGCAGTGATAAAGAGGATTGAGGTTTGAGACAAGCCAGGGCAAAAGTTAGCAAGACCCTATCTCAGAAAACAAGCTGGGCAGGGTGGGGTACACTTGTAATCCCAGGTATAAAGGAGGTGGCAATAAGAGAATCATGGCCTGAAGTTCACCCTGGGCAAAAGGAAGACCCCATCTGAAAAATAAACTAATGCAAAAGGACTGGGAGTGTGATTCAAGTGGTGGAGAACTTGAGTGGAAACCCCAGCACAGCATTAGGGGAAAAAAAAAAAAAATTTACATTTTTAATAATAAAAGAGTTGATGCAAATTAAAAGCTCAGTAGCAGAAACAGAAATTCAGTACAGGGTTAAGATAAAGCTGAGGAAATCTCAGGAAAAATAGAGGATAAGAATTCTATCCACACTTAACTACACGTGTGTGTGTCTCCTGTAACTCACTTTATTTTCAGGCTGTTTTCAATTCTCCTAACAATCTTGGAAAGTTAAGACTTAATTTATTCATTTATAAAATGTGCATAATAAGGATCAGAGAATAAGTGATTTACCAAGGTGAATAAAAGAGCAAAGATTTGGACCCTGATATGGCTGGAATCAAAACCAAGTCCTCTGTACAGTGTGCTAGAGCACATTGTAAATACCTTAGGAAAAGTATTTAAAAAATTTTAAAAACATTTTTTTGGGGGCAGTACTGGGATCCTTCTGATTTCTGCGTGAAGTAGCTGGGATTACCCCTGTGTGGCATCACATTTGGCTTAACTTTTTTTTTTTTGGTTGGAATGGGGGTTGAACACAGGGCATCATGCCCACAAAGCAGGCATGAGTGCCTGAGCTACACTTCCAGTCCACTTCTGCTCTGGTGATTTTTGGAGATGGAGTCTCTCAAACTATTTGCCTAGGTTGGCCTTGAACTGAGATTCTCTTGATCTCAGCCTCCCAAGTAGTCAAGTAGCTAGGATTACAGGCATGAGCCACTGGCCTGGCAATACAGTTTTTTTTTTTTTTTTTAATGGTTCTGGGATCTGAACTCAGGGCTTCCTGTTTACAAAGCAGGCAAGTTATTAAGTTTTTTTTTTTTTTTTTTTGAAAAAAGAAAAATACAAGCCTGGCAAAGTGGATCAGGTCTGTAATCCTAGCTACTTGTGAAGGTGAGACTGGGAGGATTCTGGTTAGAGGCCAACCAGAGCAAAAGTCTTCTGAGACCCCATCTCATGGCATGGCAGTGTATGCCTGTCATCCCCACCTTTATGAGAGGATGAGATTGGGGGGAGGATCACATTTAAAAAGCTTGCAAGAAAGGCTAACAGTGTAGTTCAAGTGATAGACCACCTGCCTAACAGGAGTGAGACCCTGAGTTCAAACCTCAGTACTGTCCCCCCAAAATAATTTTTTTAAAAAAAGGCTTGCAAGACCCCATCTGAATGGGAAAAATCTAGGTATTGCAGTGCATACCTGTCATTGCAGCTATGACGGGAAGCATGACATAGGAGGATCACTTTCCAGGCTGGCCCATGCAAAATAAATCAGACTCTATCGCCAAAATAAGGAGAGCAGGACTGGAAGCGTGGCTCAAGCGGTAGAGCACCTGCCTAGCAACAGAGAAGCCCTGAGTTTAAATCCAAGCACTGCCACTTAAAAAAAAAATTCCAGCAGCACAAAGAACAGAAAATTTATCCTTTGAAAAAACAAAATATGTTACATGAAAAGCATTTTTATGAAAGGGAACTAATTCAGTCCTACTTTGAAAGTGTAGAAAGTAGCACAGGTGTTTACGCCGGCACACAATCTCAGTGCCTTTCCAGGATTATCCTGGTTTGGCTCTGGGGGCAGAGGCCCACTCACCAATTATTCTCTGTCTTGTCTTCAGAAAGGTAAAAGGCAAATCTTACAAACATGCCACTACTGCATTAAGTATTAAACAGGAAAGCAGAGAAATTGACTCACAATGGAGATGTTTTCCTTCTTAATTTCTGTCAATGCTTTACCAGATGGGTCTGAAGGTGATTCCTGGCCCTGGAGTAAGAGGAGATTAAAAAATGATTTAACCGCGACCAACCTGCAGGCAGCACCAAATCAACACCACCAGTGGGATCACAGGTCAAGTTTCTACACTATTCAAATCCCAAACCCTATATTGGGTAGAAACCAAATTTAAGAAAACATTATGGGAGCGTTAATGAGGAAACAGAGGTTAATGTGTCCTTTCAAATTACAAAATACGGGTGGGTGAGCAGAGGGCGCCCATCCTCTCCTCGGGGAGGTTGGGAAACTCGCCTGGGCCCCAAGGTTCGTCCCCGCAGGGCGAACTGGCTCCGGTCCCAATAGAACTTGCGCAATATAAGCCACCGCCAGGGCCGGGAAAGCCGCGAGGAGGACCGGCGGGGCACACAGCCACGTCGCCACGCAACTTAGAGGACCCCGGGCTCGCCGACAGGTGGAGCTCAGCCCGAGAGCTGGAACGAGCCCGCCCGCCCCACCCCGCGCAGAGAAAGGATAAGCGAGACCGCACTCCCGGCCGCCCTCGTCCCGTCCCCGCGCTCCCGACCCCCGCCCCCGGCGTCCGCCTCACCCGGCCCGCCCGGCCCGCCCGCACTCCCGCTGCCTTCGAGCCGCGCACGAACGCAGGCACCCGCGACATGAGCGTGGCCCAACAGACCCCGAGGCCCGACGCGGAGGCAGGCACGACGGCCGCACCGCGGGGTGCGCAGCCCGGGTCGGGGGAGGCTCGGAGGCTGCCCTCACCCATCTCCGCCTCCCCAGCCGCCTCCGCCTCCGCTCCTCCTCCGGAGCTGCGCTCTCCCAGCACCCCCACTCTCGGCGCCCTGGACTTGCAAAGAAGCGGGATAAGCCTCACCCGGTTCTGGCTCGGCTCCGCGAACGAACCCCCTCCCCCGACCCCCCCCCTTCGGCGACACGGCAAACTCCGCACGGTCCAGTCCCGGCTTTAGCGCTGGTGAGGGAGAGGAGGCGGAGGCGGCGGCGCAGCCGAGCCCCGGGAGGCCCCGCCTTCGCGCCTCATTGGCTGGAGGCGGAGGCGGGCCAAACCCTCGGACACGGCAATGGCTCGTCAACCTTCCATCATGAAACCCCCCCACCCACCATCGGCGGTAGTCCGTGGCTGTTCGGTCAGACCGGGCCACGCCCCCGGGCCTATGGTTTCACTCTCCCCTCCGCCGGCCCTCGGCTTGGCCATGTCTCCTCCCCTCCCCTCCCCTCTCGTACCCTCGCCCCACCCTACCCACCCACCGGGTCCGCCAGGGTCAGGAGCCTAAGCCGCGCCGCCAGCCCCGACTCGGGGCCTGGGTCGAGACTCCCCGGCCGGGGCCGCCAGGGGCGGGAGCGGGCTCAGGCCGTCGCCGGGCTCCCAGTGCCTCTGCCCGAGGAGCGACCAGCTTCCGAGACTCCAGCTCTCCCGGCCCAGTCCGAATAGCCCCCGCGAGACGGGCCGGCAGGGCGCGCGAGGCCGAGGGGCGCCTGGGGGACGCTCGCAGCCCTCGGTCGCTCCGTGGGAGCCGGACCCCCCACCTCCCGGGCCCATTGTGCAGCGGAGGAGGCGACGTCTCCATTTTGTCGGAAGTGCTGGGGAACTTGGGGTCGAGGACTCCCCGGGCCGGGGCCGCCCAGGGGCGGAGGCGGGCCTCAGGCCGTCGCCGGGCTCCAGTGCCTCTGCCCGAGGAGCGACCAGGCTTCGAGACTCCAGCGTCCTCCCGGCCCAGTCCGATAAGCCTCCGCGAGGGACGAGGCCGGGCAGGGGCCAGCGGCGAGGCCGAGGGGCGGCCGTGGGGGACGCTCGCAGCCTCGGTCGCTCCGTGGGAAGCGGACCCCCACACCTCCCGCCATGCGCTCAGCGGGAGGAGGCACGTCCCCATTTTGTCGGAAGTGCTGGGGGAACTTGGGGCCCACTCGGAACTCAGCCCCGTAGGGACGGGACCCTGCTCCCCCGCACCCCCGACTGGGTTCTACTTTGCGGCCCCGCTTTCGGCGTGCGCCTGCGGGACCGCGGGGGCCGCACGACGGCGGGGTGACGCCGCCACCCGCTCCTCGGCCCAGCAAGATGGAGGAGCCGCGGGCTGCCCGAGCGGGGCTCGCGCCCGCGAGGACCCAAACACCCTGGAGCCGTGGCCGACCCGCAGCCCCGGCCCCGCTCCGCCACGCTCCACCCTGGCCCGGAAGCGCAGCCCGGTGCGAGCGCCGCCGAGGCCGGGGATGGGGGGCGGCCAGGGGCGTCCGCGGGGTCTCGGCTTTGTTCCTCGTCTAGCCCCGGTCTCGGGACGCCCGGCGCCGATCCAGATCCGCGGACCGAGAACGGGGCGGCGCGCGCCCTAGCGGAGCCCAGCGGGACTGCAGCGGGGGCGCTGGGCTGGCCCCAAGTGTGGAACGTCGAGGTCCTATAGGATGTCTGGAAATTATGTGATATTTATCCCCGTTTATTATCTCTTTGGGGGGGGGGGCGGGTGGTAGTGGCGCAGGTTTGGTCAGTGACAGCCAAACTTGTAGGAAGATGAGTGAGTGTCTGGTAAATCTTTTTATATTAACTAATGCTGTATTTGTTTCATGGACATTCCCCAAATCAACATTTTTTCGACATTTTTAAAGTCCTCAATTACTCGTTGGAAATAAACATTAAAATAATGCCAACGTAACTAGGTTTTAACCATCCCCTTTCCATAAACATATGTAATACAGAGCCAGAGGTACCTAAGAATTTATAGATAAAGGTCCATTAGAGATAATCTGATGTCTTTTTGGGCACCGTTGACTCACGCCTGTAAATCCTATCTACCCAGGAGACAGAGATCAGAAGGATCAAGGTTCGAAGCCAGCCATGGCAAATTGTTGCTGAGACTCTATCTCGAAAATATTCAACACAAAACAGGGCTGCTGTAGTGGCTCACGTGCGTGCGTAGCAAATGTGAAGTCTTGAGTTCAAACACCAATACTACCAAAAAAAAAAAAGAATCTGAGGCCTGTCAGGAACTTTAAATGTCAGGCTTGATAGCTACAAATCGTGTATTTGCTGAAGCCCTGTCTTTTCACAATCTCTGGCATTAATACTCAAAGATTAAAAACTGGTAACACATTCCAGGATGGTGAATGATAAGGGTACCTTTTTCCTTTGTCAGTTTCAGCTGTCACTTCAGTCTGCTGCTTCACTTTTCTGCTGTTGTACCAGAATGGCACAGACAGTAAATTGTAAGCTATTAAAAGTTTGGTGGTTCTGTAGGCTGGTAAGTCCAAGATCAGGGCCCCAAACCTGGTGAGTGTCTTTTGGCTAGACAAAGACGCAGGAGCAGAGCATACCAGAAAGCTGGCACATGATAGCATCATCAGTCCACTCAAGAAGACTCAATCATTTCTCAGGTCTCACCTCCCAGTAAGGGCAATTAAGTTTCAACGTGAATTTTTTTGTGCTTTCAAAGCATAACAAGGAATTTTGAAAACTTAGAATAAAAAGGTTTTGGGCTAGGAGGCATGGCTCAGTGGTAGAGCGCCTGAAGCCCTGAGTTCAAACCCTAGTATTGCCAAAAGTAAATTTTTCATTGGTGATAATACATTTTAATAAATTTAATGTCATATAAGACTATTTCCCAAGTACATTGTCTTTAGTTAAGGTTGATACAATGGTGCTGAATTGACCATAACAGCGAACTAAAGAACATAGTGTAGGGCTAGGGGTGTGGCTCAGGCCCTAGAACACCTGCCTAGCAAATAATGAGGCCCTCAGTTCAAATCCCAGTACTGCCAATAAATAGATGAATAAAATAAAATAAATTTAAAAACAGAAAATGATGTAGCTGAATTGCATTGAGCTTTCCATGGCCAGCTTGCATTTACATTCTTACATGATCTGCTGGTAACTTCAATTCCTTGGTAGCCTCTTACTCTCTCAGCTTCACTTCCTATTTTGAATATAATATAGGACATTGTAAAGTCTAAAACATTTTTTGTGAAAGTGTTAAGTAACAATAATAAGACAAATGTACTATCAGAGTGGCTCAAGTGATAGAGTGCCTATAAGTGTTAGGCCCTGAGTTCAAACTCTAGCACAGCCAAAAAAAAAGAAAAATGTTATATGAAATAAATCTTTTGACAATTATAGGTGCACGGCCAGTGTAAAGGCAGACCATCACAGTGACCAAGAAAATGCAATTTCTGGAGTCAGGTGAACTACTTTTGGATCTTAACTTTCCAGCTAGGGCATTTCCCTTATGAACTTACATGAAAAATATGTTAATTTATAATACTATTTATCATAGTAAATGATAAACAAAACATGCTAACTTTCCCTCCAGTTTGTAAGCTCTCGTCACTCAATTACTTATTCAATTTGTTTTATATTTATTTATTTTGGCGGTTTTGGAGTTTGAACTCTGGGCCTCATACTTGCTAGGCAGGTGCTCTACCACTTGAGCCACTCTGCTAGCCCAGGACTGGGGTTTGAACTCAAGGCTTCATGCTTACAAAGCAGGTGATCTGCCACTTGAGCCACATCTCCAGACATCTTGCCATTTTTAAAGAACCGTCTTTAGGAGTAACTGAATACCCTAGTTAATGATGGACACTTTTTTATTTTTGGTGGTGCTGGGGATGGAACCCGGGGTCTCATTCATGCCAAGCAAGAACTCTACCACTGAAGACACATCCCCGGCTGGATATTTTTTTCTTTACTGAAGAAACCGAAATAGCAAATGTGGAAGAAATGTCAGAATTAAAATCCAAAGCATGTACTCCGAAAATGCTAGTAACATAGACCTTTGGCAAGAGTATTAAGAGTGAAGAACCAAGTGTGGTTGTGGTGATGCACACCTTCAATCTCAGCATGAAGTAGGCTGAGGCAGCGGAGTGTCTTCCTTGGACACTCCATATCCCCCTGAGGGTAGAGGTGGTGTATTATTATATCCATGGTCCCCAATTTAGGATGCGTCTGCGCACTATTTTTCAACTTCCAATGTCATGAAAGCAATAAGCATTCAGGAGAAATTTTACTTGGACCTTTTCCTGGGCCAGCAAAAAGCAGTCCCATTGTTACAAAGCTAGGCAGTGGCTCAGCTCACGCCTGCACTCCACAGGGTGCTGGTGGGTTGGCAGGAGGCCTGGGAGTGCAGGTTTATTCAAATGCATGTTCCTCTTAACAGTTTCAAAGGAAGTATCTCTGGATCTTCTGCCATTCTTCCTAGTCAGTCACTACTTCCATCCCCTGTTGACAGAAGTCAAACTTCAGTGCCCCTAAGAACTGCCCTCACTTCTAACACTAACCGTAAGTATGGGGGTGTTCCCCAGACCACCCTCAGGTGACAATTTGTTGAGGGATATACAGAACTCAATGAAAGTTGTTCTACTCACGGTTTATTACAGGGAGAAAATACAGTTGAAAAATTAACCAAAGGAAGAGGCATATGGTGCAGGGTCTAAGAAGGGTCCAAACACAATTCTGGGGTGCTCTCCGTGTTTGATGCTGTCTTCTCTGGCTGTGAGGTATGGCAGTGTCCCAAAGGGTTGTTAACCAGGGAAGATCACCAAATGTTTGGTGTCCAGAATTTTTATTGTGCCACACACAAGGCCTACCTTTGTGTCTAGCCCCCGCAGAAGATGGAGCTAACACCTCCCATGTCTGTTTCCTCCAGAGGTTGGAACTGAGAGGCTTGGCATTAACCCTCATCCTAACACTCACCGTCAGACTGTACAGTGCCCAAACCTCAAAACGGCAAAGATCCGGTCCAGAGGTTGTCTTCCAGTGCTGGCCAGACCTCTCTTTGCCTAAGTTTACTTCTTCCCTACTGTTTTTTTTGGGTTTTTTTTGTGGGGCTGGCGTTTTAACTCAGGGCTTCTTGAAGCAAGCACTCATTGCTTGAACCACACCTCCAGTCCATTTTGCTCTGG